TAAGCGAGTACAGAGTGTACGATTCAGGAACATTTTTCCATATTGGTATCTTCACGGATGAGTATACGGTGATGGAGATGTTGGCAGAGGAAAGTGAACTTGTCCTTTCCACTGGAAGCTCTGATCTTATATATGGAGCATGGGCCTGTTTGCTTCCAGTGAGTGAAAAGCATTTGGCCGGTGAAATCATTTCTAGGCAAATTAATATGCTCAACATTCATAAGAAAAATGATAAGAATTATGTAGAGAGGGAGGAGGTGGAGAAGAAGAAGCTAGGGGAGAAAGTCCAAAATTTGGTGTTCGATATGGATTTGCATACTGTCTATGCTCTCGACATTGCAAACTTCGTTATTCAGCGGACCTACATGTTGCGCAATACTTCTATATATGTGAGTTTAAATGGTTTCGCTTCAACTTGGATGCATATTTTAACTTTTGCATGTATTATGATTTGCAAAATATGTCAATTCCATCAAAAGTTAGTCCATAGTTGAAAATTAATTTGTTGGACAAATCCTATCAGTTAGTTATTGATGCTCTGTACTTGTTGATGAATCAATTAGGTTCTGGAAATCAGTGATATTGGGTGTTTTGTCCCTGTTTCTTTCAGAACTGCTAAAGAAAATATCTTGGTATTTTGGTGAATCCCTAGTTTGGTTTTTCAAATTCTCCATTTATCGGGAAAATATAAATTTGCCTTGACATCTTAAGTGTATTGGCATTCAAAGACTTAGATTTCTAGTTGGATGTTGGTTGGATAGTCCAATTTAGTCTTTTCTTTGCGCTACGGGTGATTGATTGATCTCTATTTGTTTCAATTGCAGCTAACATTTTTATGGGAATTACGGAAAAGGATGTGCCTTCTGTGTAGGACTTCTTATAGAATTGACTGCAACCTCAGTCATGTGAATAGAATGTCAGACATGCAAAGCTACGAAACTTTTTTCTGTCATTAACTTTTAAGGTCAAAGCATGAGGCATGCCATGGTAATACAACAATTAACATTATTATTGCGGGCATCTTCAGAACTGGAATTTCTTTTTTCCCATTTTAAGTAAACATCAAATTGGAAATGACATTAGTAATTACATAATACAATTATGCCCAACTTGTTATTTGGTATATTGCAGTGCACAGTGATCAATGTTCGAAAAGGCATAGGCGCCCGCCTAGGTGTTTTGGGGTTCTGGCTGCCTAGGCATCCGGGCGCTCGCCAAGAACACAAATGGGTGGACTATTAACTAAGATGAAATTTATATTATAATTATTATTTATTAATGATTTTCCATAAGGTTTGGTTTTGGATATCAATGTTCACAAAACATCAATTTCATCCAAAGTTTAAGACCATTTACAAAAGCGCAATTTCATCGTTCAAATGAGAAAAAATTCAATAAATCACAAAAAAATCAATCTTTCAACTACAAACATATAAATATATCGTAAAAAAAAAAAAAGTAAAAGAAAAAAAACTAATGATTCACAATATAATACATTATAGCAAAATCAAATCAAAACCCTTATTCAAATATGATAATACTTTTAAAATATCACAATCAAATCGATGTCGGTGCAAACCTCGTCTATTGGGTCACCAAAAGTCCTCAAAATTGACTACTAGAAGTTCCAAAAAAACCCACGAACTGAGGCCTTTGTTTTGGGAAGAAATCGAAAAATAAAAAATTTATCGATATTTTGATAAATCACAAAAAAAAAATTTGGGGAGTTTTTTTCCCTCTAAAAGGCACGGTTTTAGGTGGGCGCTAGATGCAGGACTCCTAATAGTCCCCCCTAACTTGTGTCTAGGCTTTTTTGAAATTTTTCTGCCTAGACGGCTGGTCGGGCGAATTTTCGAACATTGACAGTGATAATAAGTATTGTAGCCACCAGAGGTTAATCATAGTTACCTTACTTTTCTTGTCCTTTCTGGGGATAAATTTGGAGCTATAGGTTCTTGGCAGGTGACTAATGTGCTCTGAAATCTGAATGTCCTTTCTGGCTGCATAGTTACAGGCCATTGTCTGAGTGCAAGTTGCTGCTCTAAGGTTTGTTATATGGAACGTACTATTGGCCGTCTGTTGACGTATTAGTCTACTTTGGCTATCATGGGAGGATCAATTAGTGGATGTGAAATTAGAGTTTACACTTGACAAAATTCCAATATACAATTATTAAGTTCTTTTGTTTTTTGATCCGTGGCTTACCAGATTAGAGTTATAGCAGAAGAAATGTTATGTTTTTTGAGAGAATGAGCTGAATTGTTCTTTCTCATGCCACTAGGAAAATTTTGATCGGTCCAATTTTAAGAAGCTAGAGAGTGATAAACCTGTTGGTAGCTCATAACTCATAGGCATTGTTAATCTAAACTAGTTCCATATAGCTAAAATCCAAATAACGATGTAGAAATTGTCTCCCTGTGCAGCAAGTGTTACATCAAAGATTTTCAACTATTTCTTTACTATCGGCTTGGCAGGCTTGTCGAAATGGTATTCCTTAGGGCCTATGAGTGAAGACCTTTCAGTGAGGGGATAGTAAACTATAATCCTGAAGAACCTGACATTCAATGAGAACTTCTAAGGACTGATCATAGTCCTCAGGGTCATCCCTGTTAATAAACGAGGGACTTTTGATGGAACCTGGGCCCACCCTCTATCCATCACCATCCATCATCTCTATAGATGCCAATGGCTATAAGGGCTATGTTTGCATTGACCTTATGATTCACCTTTATGATGATTAATAAAAGTGATGGCGATTTTATTGGGCTTATCTTCACCCGAGTTTGAATCTAATAAGTCCAGCTTTTAAATCACTAAATATTAGAAAGTTTTTTAATTGGACTTGACACTCGATAATATCTCTTCAGCATAATCCTATATAGATTTACATTAGTTGGCAACTGATAGTGATATTATTTCAGCATTCAACTTTCCTAATCTAAAAGACTCGTAACTGTTGGTGGTACTTATAACCAACTTCGACAAATCTTGATTCAGATAAGAAATCACTTATCTGGATTGGGGCGGAGACTGTCTGTTCCCAATCAGAATCGCAATCAGCGATTCTATTTATATATGTATATAGTGTGGTGCAATAAAGAAAATAACATATAATGTCTCAATTTTGTATCATGTACTCATATTTTACAAGAGGTTTTCCCAGTGCCACTTTTTTAAAGCGGCCTAGGTTTGATTTTACATCGAATATGTTATTTAATTGTAGGACAGCTAAGTTTTAGCAGCTTCGTTATTTCCAAATCTCCTTTTAAAGAAATTTAAGGAGCTCTGTTTTTAGGAGCCTTTTTTTAAAGTTAAAAGAAAAAAAACAGTGGGGGATTCATGCCTTGACCTTGCGCATTGCGCTTCTAATGCGCAAAGTCTAGCCTACATGTTGCGTTGAAGCATTTATGACAATATTTTGACGAATATAAATTATATATTTTATTATTTATTATTTATTATGTATTTTTCCGAATCGCCAATCCAGACAATTCGAATTGCTGATTCGACCGATCTGGATTGGGATCGGTTGGTAGGAGATCCACCCCACTAATCCATTTTTTGAATCATTGGTTCTTACTATTTATACCTTCTATTGGTATTACATTATGATATGGCAGGAAGAGTTCTTAGGACCCTTTAGATGGTTCAAGCGATGCCAGCTTTTTTTCCCTGGCATAAACAAGTTGCCTCATCTAGACCTTCAACTAAGCAGTAGCTGCCTAAAATTGATTGAGGAGCCTGCAACGGACAAGTATGTGATAAACTATTGGGTTTGTACACAGGAGCGATCAACTAACTTCAAGTTCAGCAAATTTGAATTTCCCTTCAAAGGTTCATATACAAACCTCCTTTTGCTTGAGAAACTATTTAGACCTTCACAGGCATCGGCTGGAACTTCGTAAAATTTGAGGACAAAGGTTCCTTTGTTGATAACAACAAATTTATTCTTGCTGGTAATTTTTCACAATAAGCTGTTCTGGATTCATGCTCCCTTCATATTCTTTTTTAAATGAATATGTGAGTTCTTTTAATGAAAATGCATGGAGATGAGCATTTTTCTATTAGTCTAGGTCCTTGGGCTTCTTTCTACTGGCAATCATTCTTGGTAATGTGTAAATATCTTCTTTGTAGTTAGTGGTTCGGAATTCTTTTCCTCAACCTTGGGCTTGTGACTCATGCTTTGGAATTAAAAAAGTGGTTATTCTTTGGAGATGCATCATATGAGCCTTTCAGGATTGAATTGTCTTAAATGTTCAGCACTGAACATTGTTGATCTGTTGCCTTGAACTTTGTCTATTAAATATTAATATGTACCTTCTTATTATGGGGGTATTATCAATGGGAACTGAGATGCCCCGAAGGTGGCTAAACTACTTTGGGTTTTCATCAATTCAAATTTTACACTCCAAGCACTAGTATGGTGGTCCTTTGCGCTATCTAATCCAAGCAGCTAAATCCGAAACTGTCTGATAAAAGCTTGGATTTAAACCTATGGAGTTTAGAATGTTGGTCCTTGGGCCCTAAGCTCCAATCCTAGATGCTAAACACCTAAACCCAAGAATAGTAATGCTACTTTCCTGTCTGGAGTTGGAAGTGTCCTATTAGTTATCTAGATGACAGAAGAGCTAGTTTTTCTTATGGAAATGTATACAAAGAGAACATCAAGTTTTTAAACCTGTGTAGTTTAGAATGTTGGTCCTTGTGTCCTAAGTGCCAATCCTAGATGCTAAACACCTAAACCCCAAGAATAGGAATGCTACTTGCCTATCAGGAGTTGGAAGTGTCGTATTAGTTATCTAGATGAGGGAAGAGCGAGTTTTTCTTATGGAAATGTATACAAAGAGAACATTTACTTTTAGTATAAGGAGATCATAATAACTGTGATCAGCTGGATTTTGTATTGGGTGACTGTCAATGTGTCATTTATTGGGCTCAATTCGAAAAAAAAATCGAACTTTGTCACATACCATAAGTTGCCCAATTTGGCATATGATAGCTAGGGGTAGTTGTGACCTTTTCTTATACTTTAGTTTGCTTGCATTAGTTTTAGTTCATTACCTGGCCTACAATCCAATTCTTTAGGAGGGAGTTCTTTACAAGATTAACGCAATGTAGCTTATTAAAGATACATTTAAACCAAGATCCAATGACGTCATCATCATCAGAGCCTTTTCCCTACTATTTAGGGTCGTAACACAAA